ACTGACACATTTCCCTGAAGGTGGCCAGAGGGCTCATGCAGCCAGCCGGTTATGAAACACCGAGAAGTATAAAAGCCTGCTAGCCCTCTGGGCTGTTTTTCCCCTGATAGAGATGGAGGCTGTGAGCAGGCTTGTCCCCTTGGCCCTTTTCATCGTGCCGTGTTTGGCAGAGTTCAACTGGACCCAGTCTGAAGGTAAGAAACTTGAACCAGTTCTTTTTTTTCCCTAACAAAATAGGGAGACTTCCTTCCAAGAGGCCTCTGCCCAAAGTTTTGAAGTTTTAATTATCTAATGGCCGTATTACAGAGAACACTTATTCATATGCTCTTGATGTGATTTCGAATTGGTACTAAGTTTTTTTTCAAGCCCATGTGACAATATACGTAAAAATATTTTTTAAAAAATCACAAAGAATTTTACCAGGTAGTTTTACTACTGAGAAGTAAATACCTCGGAAATAATTATAAAAGTGCACACACACACACACACAAAAACCACACGGCGCATTTACCCAATTGTAAAAAGCAATGTGAATGTCCCTCATTCATTCTGTAAGTTGTAGATCCACACAAAGGTACGTACTTCAGCAGTTTCTTACAAGTAAGACTGAGCTAGAAGAAAGGTGCCCAGGATCTACCTTAAGAGAGAGAGAGAGAGAAAAAAAACTACCTGAAATTTGTGTAATATGATGTTATGTTTAAAATACATACACTTGAGCTTTTAAAGATCAGGAAGTAGGAAAGGAAAGGTTCTGAAGTATTTACAAGAAGTTTTTAATGGTCATTTTTTTCCTGGATGGGTGGGATTATACACTTTTTTTCTTGGCTTTCTGATGTTTTTTTACTAATAAACATAATAGTAGTTATTGTTGGGGGAAAAAGAAATAAGAGACTACTGTTATAAGGACATAGCTCATCAGTCATAGATAAAAAGAAAATGAGAAGCTCTTGGTTTCTGAGTGGAGTTTTGAACCCTTAGTTGGGTTCCATTCTGAAGTATTTGATTTTTTTATTCACATTCTGTTAGAGTTGCCGCTGCAGCTCCTCCCCTCCTTTCTCCTCTTCCTTCTCTTTAGTAACAGCTTTATTAGGATATAAGCCACATACCATAAAATCCACTCTTCTAAAATGTAAAATTTACCGATTTCTAGTATAGGCACAGAATTGTGCCACTATGACTACTTTCTAATTTGAGAACATTTTCATCACCTCAGAAAGAAACTCTGCACCCATTGGCTGTTTTTTCCAGTGCTCTCAGCCCAAGACAACCACCAGTCTACTTTCTGTCTCTATAATAGATTTCCCCAATCTGGACATTTCCTATCAATGAAACCCTACAATGTATGTGGTCTTTCACTCAGCTTAATATATACGAGGTTCATCCACGCTGTACCGTGGGCCAGCGCTTCATCCTTTTTATTGCTGAGTGATCCTGCGTAGTATGGATGGACCAGATTTTATTTGTTCATCATTTGATGGACATTTGAGTTGTTTCCCCTTGTTGGTTATTTTGGCTAGCGCGGCTGTAAGCATTAGTGTACGTATGTGTTCATTCCTTTTGGAGACATGCCTAGGAGTGGAATTGTTGCGTTATGGGAACTCCCTGTTTCATCTTTTGAGGACTTGGGCCGTTTTCCCAGCAGCCATCCCATTAGCTTTGCAGGAGGTTCCAATTTTTCCATATCCTTGTCAAATTCTCGTTTTCTGTTTTCGACTCTAGTTTTGTTTCACATTCTAAACGGTGTGAAGTGGTATCTCACTGTGGTTTTCATTTGCATTTTCCCCGATGACTAATGATGTTGAGGATGTCTTCATGTGGTTATTGGCCTTTATGTCTTCTTTGGAGAAATATCTATTTTGGTCTTTTGTCTTTTATCGGGTTGTCTTTTAATGATTGAGTTGTAGGAGTTCTTTGTATATTGTAGATATAAAGCTTATTTTTAAAACCATCTTTCTGCATGCCCTAATATATTCTTTATTTTTTATGCACCACTTATAGAGGAATCATAAATATTTTCTCTCCAAGGACTCTAAGAGGGGGAAATCAGTTGCTGGTGGCTTACTTTGGAATGAGTTAAATACCATTCACAATCACTTGCATGCTTGTATGGACAGTACATGTGGGAGGTAGATTCCCAACCCCTCGAGGAGAAGGGCAGGGGCTGCTGACTTTTCTCAGTGCCAACTGTGGTCTCTACCAGGCAAATCTAGCTGCCGGGCCACCGTGGGAGGCACCAGCCAATCGGATGCCCATAGAGCCCTAATCCTGCAACTCAATCCCAATGAGGACTGCACCTGGACACTAGAAAAACCAGAAAACAAAAGCATCAGAATCATTTTTTCCCACTTCCAGTAAGTAGAGGCTTTGCTTTCTAATGAGGGTGGTTGAACTCTGGCCATACCAAGGAGTCTGTGTCAAAAAAAAATCAGCTGCTCTTAGAGGTAGTGGTAACTCCCATGACCATGGTGATGGTCATAATGGCTGACAGTCACTGACTGATGACTGGGCCCCTGGCTGTGGTCACAGAGGTCCTGTGAGGTCAGTATGAGTATCCCAGGCACAGGGAGATTGAACACTTGTCTCAGGTCACATAGTGAGTGGAATGACCATAGTTAGTATCCAGCTAGTCTAGTTCCAGGTTCCAGGTCCTGAAACACTAAACTCATGGTTTCAAAGTATGCATTATAATCAGCAGGGGAGCCTCCAGAAAGTCAGATTCCCAGGCTGCACCTCATATAAATCGGGGTGGGGGGGGAAGGGCAGGCAACCAGGCAACAGTGTTTTTTTTATTTTAAATTTTTTATTTTGAAATAAATATACACCCACAAGTGTTTTCTGGAAGTGCCCAGGTTATGGCAGTGCGAGGCCAAGCTGAGGACGGGGCGCTGTCCTACCAGACTCTCTCAGGGCTTCGTGAGAACTTCCCCAGTTAATCAGTCCTCTCAACAGCCCTCTGGGATGGATGCGATCTAATCCCCACTCGGCGGGTAAGAAATCCCAGAGAAGTCACTTCACGTGGCCAGAGTCACGGACCGATACAGGCAGCAGAGGGACTGGATCCCGGCACCCTTGCTCCAGCGCCCCTACGCTCCCCCTCTGCCCGTGGTTCTAAACCAGAGAGTCTCAGAAGCGCGGGAGGGTTTTGCAAAAGCGCGGCTGTGGGACCCTGGGCCCAGATTCTGACCCGGACGGGGGTGGCCGGGGCCCGAGAACGTGCACGGGTAACAACTTCCCAGGTGCTGCTGGTGCGGTCAAGGTGCCACACTTTGAGATTCGTGGCCCTTCGCCAGGGAAGTTGGAATTCACTTCTGTTTGGCCCTAAAGGAAAAAAAGAAGGGGCGCTTCCGTATTTCCCAGAATTCAAGGGCTATTAATTAAGAATCACATACATTATCCCTGATGTGTCGAGAAAGAGAGGACGCAGCGGGGCAAGAGCAAGGGAGGGGGGACGGACATTTCCCGTCTTAGACGCTTCTGTGTGCCGGGCCTGTGTCGGTGCTCCCTGTTCAGATGATTATAAACCTCCCACAGGATAAGACGAAGGCTGTGATATCCCCATTTGCAGAAGGGAGAGTGAGGTGAAATCCTGAATAGCTCAGCCAAAGTTACGCAGCAGGGAAGGGGCTACGGTGGAAGAATTCAGGTTTGTCTACCCTCGCGGTGTTCCCTCTAAGCCATCCTGCAACTGTGTCAGGATTCGGGGGCCATCCGGAGAGACCCTGTCAGCATGGGCAGAGGACAATGAATCATCCGGGTCTGCCCTGTCCAGTGCAGGGCACGGACCGTCCTTATGGATGAAGACCGGGGGGTGTGAGGGAAGGAAGGGGCGTCTCGGGAGATGCTACATGTCCCTTAACGTGAGCGAGGCGGCCGTGGAGGAAGAGTCGCTTCCCGTTTCTACGGCCTTGGGTTCCAAATGTCAAAGGCGATGAATTCTAAATAAGAAGATCCCACCCCACGGTTCGCACCGGGGCATGAGGAACAGGAGAGATGGAGACGGGAAGGAAAGGAGTCCTGGACCCGAGTCCCACCTCCCCCCTGACTGTACAGGATCGCTGGCAAAGCAGT